CTTCCCCTACCCCTGCCCCTGCCAGGTCGTCTTGGTAGATTGAGATACTATTGTGGAATATTATTTAGTACCTCATAGTAACGACTTACAATATGTCTATTGACAGCCCTCAATTGGGCAATAATGAGCTGCCTTTGCTGGTGCAGCAAAGGCAGTGCTGGGGTAGGAGGGACTACTGGAGCCCCTGCAGTAGGGACTACAGGTGCACCTGCTGGAGGGACTGCTGGAGTCCTTCCAGGAGGGACAACGGGTGCACCTCCAGAAGGGACTCCCAGAGCCATTCCAGGAGGGACTACGGGTGAACCTCCAAGAGGGACTGGCGGAACCCTTCAAGGAGGGATTGCCAGAGCTCCTCCAGGAGGGATTGCTGGTGCCCCTCCAGGAGGGATTGCCGGATCTCCTCCAGGAGGCAGAATGGGATCTTCCTCTCTCCTATCCAGATCTGGGCTTGGTGACCAACTCATACTATGAAAAAGATACATACAAGTATATATAGTGTATAAGCTAGAGGTTGGATAAACTGACTTTTTGCTTGCAAAGTACGAATAACAAATATTAAAAAGTAGTCTGATGCCTGATTGCAAATTCACTAAGGTCTAAACTTTAAAGTAAGGACTGTACTGCTAAGTGACAAACTTGACAAAGTGCAGTTGAGCGGGAAATCAGGCATGGTTATTAAAGATTATTAACCAAAACAGGATAGTACGTCACATAAATAATTAGTTATTAGCTATGAATTTCAATATTATTTCAAATTTTCAAGTTTCTAGATGTGCTATGTTTATTTTGTGTATGCACAAGTAGCCAAAAATTAATATCTTGGAGAAGTTTTATTAAATATTCTGTAATGGATTTTTAAACCTAGTTAATTAATATCAATGAACATAATAGTATGGAAACAAGTAAATAAAAAATTTCTTTAAATAAGAAAAGGTGGGGTTGTCAAAAAATAAAAGAAACAAGGGGGTTGAGTTCAATCATAATAATAATTATTAATTCAATTAATAATAATAAAAGTTAATTAATAAAAAATAATTATTCTAAAAAATAATACATAAATTTTAACCCTACTTTGCAGCATGTAATGAAGGATTACTGATTCCTTTAACATGACAAAGTTTAATGAAAGAATGACAACCTAACTGCTTAGTTCCAGCCTACGCAAGTGTGCGAGTTGGCCCTACTGACAATTCCTAACAATGTAACATAATCAGATCAAAATTTTAAAAATGTATATATACTAAAGACATGCATCCATGCTTTTACTTTTAAAATCAAACAAGTATACATTAATATTTTAATTTCATTATTTTTTATGGTAATGCATCACAAAAATTAAAGAATGCAATAGCAAACTAATCATCCGTAGTTTAGATTTTTCACTTGTGATGACAGTAATTTATTCAATCAATGCTAGGTAAAAATTCTGATTTTTATTTATCAGAGTACTTAATTTACATCCTACTCATAGCAATGTATTAAGGCATGCACACTATCAGTAACCACGCCACGTGAATCATTGTGGTATGGAGCCACAATAGGCACTGTCTCAGGCTGAAGACAATTAAACATAAAATTACTCTTATGGATAAGCAAAAAGAAGCTGTGCTTGCTGTGCTTAATAGAAAAGATGTCTTTTGTGTTCTTCCTACAGGCTATGGATGTCAATGGTTTATGGGATCCTTTCATATTTTATTAGGTAAGTCTTACTGGTTACTATTTTAGAAAATCACTCCTTTCTATTAAAGGACGTGAGCATGGAGAGTGTATTGTGATCTGTGTTTTAACATTAAATTCACTAATGATGGATCAGTGATGGAGTTCAAGAGCAAAAGGTATTGAAGTTAAATGCATTGCTGAGGTACAGGAGGATAGAGATATCATCAGGACAATAATTAGTGGCAATGTACCACTAACATTAATAACTCTGGAGATTATTACTTTAAATCCTCTGTATCGAGATAGGCTGTTGCCACAGAGATTTAACAATAGAATGGATACTCTTGCTACTGATGAAGCTCATTGCATCAAGGCATGGTAAATCATAGTTATTGTTTCATGTTGTATGATTTGTATAGGGGTGACAAATTTCGAACATCATTTGCTGACTTGGGTTAACTTCGTAGCAGCATGCCTAATATTCCACTATTAACTACAAGAGCAACTGTGACACAATCAACTTATGTTGTTGTTGTTAGGCAGTTAGCAATGAAGAACGTTGTGATTGTAGGAGGGCCCAATGTCGAGATAATATCTTTTTGTCTGTGAAACGTATCAGTTTTGGTCAATTTACAAGAGATATTGCAGAAAGTGTCAGGAGTAATAAATTGAATCATCCTAAGACTGTGATATTCTGTTTTTTATGAAGACTGCAAAATTGTGTATGACATGTTAGAAGAAAACTTCGTTCATATGAAACCTATCCTCATGGTTATCCTAACAAGCATAAATACCGTATCCTTGATTTGTATTCAGAAGCCAGGCTCGATCATACAAAAGAAGTACTATCCGAATTTATAAAAGAATCATCTCACATTCGGAAAATAATAGCTACTTCTTCTTTTGGTATAGGCATAGATTGTCCCGATATAACACACTGATATCATTGGGAGTTACCCCATTTCGTAGAAGAGTATGTTCCCGAAAAAGGGACAGCAGGAAGGAATCAGATGCAAAGCTATGCTACTTAATTATATAAAAAGGACGAATTTCTATAGATCCAAGAATGGATAAGTATGGAACCAATACTACTATTTCCCAGCGACATATACTGTACAGTGCTTTCTTGTTCTATACTGAAAGTACTTTAGATACTAGTTGCAAATGTTGTGATGCAAGTTCCTCCATTGTAAATGTAACAACTGTATTTACTCATGCATTGTATTTTGACTTCAAATTTTTAATTCATTCATAAAAATTTTCAAACAAAATGAATAATTTTGTCTGTTATTGACTCCTTATTAAAATTATTTAAGATTGAGTCCCTTAACTTAACGCAGGAATGGTCTCTATTTGGTTTGTTGATCAAAACACTAGGCTCCTCCTCCAAGCTATCTACTATCAATGATGCATCTTTACAACTTGAAGGTACTGTAAGCTTGTCAGATCCCTGCTTGCTGTTAGCCGTTTCTCTGTCAAACTGGTCACAAATTAATTTTGATGAACAATTCCAATAAACTTAGCTGCATGGACAATGGTGTTTGTTTGTATGCTTGACTGTAATTTACGTATAACAACTTTACACCTTCCATTCACATGTTTAAGATGCAAATTACTTGAAATGTTGCATCCAATTCGACAGTGTATGTTGATCAATCTTGATGTTCACCTTCAAGTGGCGAAAAGAAGTAATGATACTGTAGAAGCCAAATAATGGCTACTTTTTTATATTCATACCTGCTGCAAGAATTAGTAATAATTTCCACAGCATCATTATCCTGTCTCCATCTCCCTCTCTGATTGCATTGTGAAAATCTTGCCATAGTAAAGTGAAAGTTATTAACTCTTATGTGTATGTAGTTACGGCATCTGATTTATCAGTGTCAGTGGTACACTTAATAACCATACATCCTGATTAACAATTTTAGCAGAAACCTCATGTACAGTAGGTGTGCCATCACTGGTTCTCAAAATACTCTTGGCAGAAGCAATGACATCCCACCGTTACTCTTGACAAAAAGTCCTCAGTTGCTTTCAGATTTTGCTTTAGGTCCTTTGGAACTGAAGTTGTCTTTATCAAGTTCTCTAGTTGCATCTCTGTTCCTAGCTGCCCTCCAGAGGATTTCTTCAGTAGTCATTTGAATAGTACCTATATCATTTGCAATGTTACATTGAATAAACGGAATCATGCATACCTGTCACAATGTAACTCGAGCATTCAAATCTTCTACAACTGGGATCAAGCCTTGCATCTTTTCTCTATTGTGTCATGCATTTGCCTCATCCCATTTGCAGAACACACTCTGGCAACAGTCAATTCATCACTTCCAAATCACGCTTGATGTAACTTGTCTGTAGTTTCTTTCTCTGTATCTCCATTCAGCAAAGTGATGTGATAATGAACATCTCTTGGTACGTATTTGTGAAATTCGTCCATGATACAAGTCATTTTAAACCATTCATGAATAATTCTGTTTGATGTTAATGATATGAATGAGGTGTTCAAATGATATGGAGACCACTGGTGGGAAGCCATGCAATGATAAGCCACAAGTTTACATAATCAATCATAATGAGAATTAAATGTAAATCAATATCAACCATCAAATACAAAAAATGGTTAAATAATGAAAATGGTCATTGAGTAACTATTCAAGTTCACTTATTTGTAGTTAAAGGTTACACTACAATTACTGAAAGTGAAGGCTGACGCTTTTTCCTTATTTTGACAATCATTATGTTCCTGATCATCATCTTTCTTCTTCCTCTTTGGCTGGATAATGTCACAAATCTCCTCTTCCTGTTAAATATTCATTTCCTTGTAAACACTCAGTGCCTTAGCACTTCGATGACCTGTGATTGACATTATCTTATCCTCTTGTATACCTTTTTGAAACATACGA